TTGTTTGCCATGTAGCAATAAAAAATATACTAAAAACCTGGATTATTCTGGTTAGTCACATTGTACTGCTATTATTTTGAACAATACTGTATATGCGCTGGACCAGCAGGGTTCAGTGGGACACAGCAGTTTTATAAAGCTCAAGAATGAATTTACTTATGCAATGTCATTGAAATTCACTCCCCTCAGACCAGTTACACAACTGAAATGTTGCTTGCACATTTACATGACCTTATCTTAATTATTTTAGTTACAATACCATAATTAAAAAGCAGAATATATGAACAAATATTAAACAACAATATTAACCAAGTCACTCATGGTGATGGACCCACAGAGAATTCTCACAAACTCTGCAGCTCCCCTCAGATCTCCAGAGGTTTCCAGCCTCTTTTAGTTTTTATTTTATAGCCCACAACTTGTTCAGTGGCAGCAGCTATTTTCAGATTAAACATTGTGATAAATCACACTGCTTACGGCCTCCTCGGCAGACAGGCACAGTAAGACGCTAGCCGTAGAGCAGAGCAGAGCATTCGCCAGCTGAAGCCAAGCCATACCAATAAATGTTAATAGTGGTTGTTTACCAACATTTCAGCTGTATCAACTTCATCAGGTCATGTGTGATTTTCAGGCTGTTGTGGAGTTTTGGCCCTAATTGGACCAAAATTTTAAATGGGTCATGTTGCTTTTGGGGTTGATACAGAAGACCTCTACACGTTATACGTGATAGTGTCAAACAGTGGACTAAGATTACAATCTTGAGGCTATGAAAAGGAGAAAATCTAGGATTGAAACCATCTAGAAAGAAATGATTAAGCATACAGGCACACATATACAGTATACTGTAGTTTGTTGTTGCACTTTATTTATTTATTTGTTTTAGGAGTTTGTCTTAGCTTTTGTGAATAATGCTATCACCTCTAGCTACATCTCCACAGGCTGCTATAAATTCAAAGGTGTGTTACTGATGTAATACAACAGGGAACCATTTACAGACATTTTTCCTGAGTCAAAATTAACCATCAACATCCACAAGTTAATTGTTTGTTTTTTTTTATTGCTATTTTTACCCTGATAACACTGTTAGGTGTATTGTATGCTTCAGCCCTAGTTCCATCTCGTGAGCAACTGTGCTCTGTTGTCTAGGTTATAATGGGTGTGTCAGTGGACTTGACTGTTGTTGATTCATTACGGACTAGTGACTTCCTCCTGCTGAGGGTGTGTATCCGTCTGCCTGCCTGTCAGGTCAGCATACTTAACATAACAGTCTTGCCACACCTGAATCACCTGTCAGCTGAGCCTGGCCTAACAATAACCAGTCTGTACTGTTGCCAGCTTTTACTTACTGACAGGGCAGCCAGTCATAAATCAGCACTGCCTGTATAAACCAGACTGGTATCAGTATCAAGAGCAGAAGCAGTAGTTGTCAAAACCCTGTTTAGAGAACACACAATGACTGTCAGTCCCAGTCTCTGCTCCATGGTTTCTTGGACCTGTTGCTTTCTGGCATGTGATGTATAAAAAAAACTCTGCGTGGATTAATGACAAAAACTGTGTGTAAATACAAAGACATACAGTAGGTGAGCGTACAGAATGTTTTCATCAGATTTATAGAGCCACACATACACAAGAAATTCTGAAAAGAGAATATGACATCAAAAGTAAAAAAATAAAATAGAATAAGAAGAAGAGTCCTGAAAAGTCCAACATAAACACTTGAAAAGACTCCTTATGAATTGAAATCTAGGTAATCAGGTAACAAATAATGCAAGTTGTTTAAAACTGGCTGTCTCGCCTTTGTCATTTCACCATATCACAGCCACGCCGACTATGTGTACGCATGGCCTGAGATATGCACAAGGTCACACATTCCTCTCACTCGCTCTGCATAACCATTGTGAGCGGTGTCTTTCCCTCTGAACCTGCTCTGCACACCTGCCTTGCCTTCTCTCACAGCCCAGTCGTGACTCTCACACCCACCTCACTGTCTCCACGGCACTCCATTAACTCTGTCAGTATACGTGTCATTATTGCTAGACTGTCTTTTGTGTTCCCCACAACTTCTGTGCTTTTCAGCCTCTGCATTCTTTCACTTGTTTGTTCCTGTTTTCCCTGAGTTTACCTGTTTGATTTGGATTCACCTGTGCTTAGACTTTGCTTGGCTGCGCAATAGCCTCTTGAACCTACTCCCTTGGATTAATTGCTTTGCTCAGACTGTTTGTCTCTTTGACCTCCACTCAAACTCTGGCTCTGCCTCTGGTTATTTGTGCTTGGTTTTCTGTTGCTGGACTCTCAGTAAGTTTTGTTGGGACTTACATATTGTTCAATAAAGCTGTTAAACAGTACCTTCCAGCCTGCCTGTCTTTGTGTGAATTTTGAGTCCTCCCTTTCTGAATGTTCCAGAGTTTGCTTTCAGTGTTGTTTTCCACAGTCCCATTGAGTTCTTGATGGAGGTCCTTAATGTCCTGTTGACTTTGTATAGTGCCAGGCATTCCTAGATCCATATCTGTGTCATTGAGTCATATGCCTTCTTGTAGTCAATCCAGGCTGTACTCAGGTTGGTCTGTCTAGATCTTGAATTACTGGTGACTGCTCCCTCTATCAGCAAATAGTGCTTTGAACCCTTGGTGTTGTTTCCCGTGCCCTTCTGAGCTGCAACTATGTATTGTAACTTGGCAGCAACGATGCCTGATTGGACTTTCCATGTTCTGGAGAGGCAGGTTATTGGTTGGTAGCTGGATGGTGCTGTTTCCTTGGGGGGACTGTATGCCAGTTGGGGGGCTGGTGCTGGTTAGCCATATCTATATCTATATCTATATCTATATCTACATCTACATCTACATCTATATCTATATCCATCTATATAGATAGATAGATGGTGTCTCTACAGTTAGTAACACACAATTACCTGTACCAAAGAATGGGAGAGTATTGAGGCCATGTCATCATATGTCTTCAAAGACCCACAATAAGCAACACAATTAACCTGTCCTTAACACAAAGCATCTGTGGTAGTTGAGGTCTGATGTGAACTAAATTAATTCAGGCAAATCATCCCAATCATTATTTATTATTACAATAATTCTAAGCAGTTCAATAATTTGAAATATAATTCAGCAGTCTGAAAGATAGGGAACAGAATCATCATCCCTGCAGAGAAATAAACAAAAGTATTGGATAAGAGAATTGTCAAAGAGTCAGTCAGTCATTTTTGGTCATACTGTCGAGTCAGTGGGTCGGTTCCCCCCATCCAGCCGGGTCCAAATGCATACTCACTCCACTATCGCAGCAGCATCCTCTTGCACCACTCAATCTAGCTCTTTTTATTCACAGCTCCTTTCGGGTCTTATGTCAATTCCCAAACTTAGCTTCCTGTCTTCACTTTTAAGAGGAAACACCCTGAGATGTACGGGAAATGGGAAACAGATGGGTCACCTCCCTAAAGTTCTCATTTCTGCACACAGACAATTCTCAGGACAAAAAGGTCAAAGCCTGCCAAATTATGCAAGCATTGTTCCGCTCACCCCAAGGCCTGTACTCTCTGGCATATTACATCCCTGAACCCTGTCCTCACCCAAGCAAAGAGCAGATACAGTATGTGGCTTGACATACAGCATCTGCATTGTATCTGCTCAGGTTAAACAGTGGCTGGTCCAACTGGCTTGTAATGGCAGTCACCTCTGAGAGCTCAGTTGTCCAACCACTGACACTATTCTACCAAGATTGTCTAACAAAAGAAGACTATCAACAATTCCAATGAGTCTATAACTATATTATCACCAACACCAATACATGTCCTGCAGGTGCCAGAGTGAAGGTGAGTCTACAGGATCATCAGGTTGGCATCCTCTTACTAACTGGTGCTTTGTTGAGCTGGGCCCATGACACCGAGAAGGCTCAACAATGTGTTCCAGCATCCCCCAACCACACCTCTCTTTGCCTGCACCCACATACTCAACACAACCCTTCATCTACTCAGGCTAATTCAGGCTTCCTCTCATAAGATAAAATCATAAAATAAACAGTCCACTGTCCTTCTGGCCACAGCACAAGGTCTGGTCTGAGGTTAGTGCTGACTCCTCAGGAACTATGAGCTGATTCCCTAAATCTGCTTTCATTTGACAATCAATACCTGCCTTTTGCTGGCCTGTTCAAAATGACTTGTTTCCTGCCTTTTTCACCCTCATGAACAAATAAAATCCCCTCTTGTTTCTTCTTTTCCTCCACTGAGCTGCTGCTAAACCTATCAACACTTGATTATGTCTCCAGGTGTATTGTCCTGGAGCCAGGCTTGTTTTTCACCCTGAGAGGATGTGCCAAAGTGATGATACACATGAACATAAGGGACATGTTGGGTCCCCACCTATCCATCTATGCAGATTTTGGGGAGACAGAAGCACATCATAAGTTGCGCCTAGAATGAATCTAATCCTTCCTGCCTCCATGTCTCATGTTTGCCTCCAACTAAGCTTCTTCCTTTCTACATCTTCCCATCTCATCCACTGTCCCCGCTGAGCCCTGGAGACTGTTTTGGCTTTTGTTATCACCAGCTACATATGTACATGAGAGGGTCAGAATATTAGCAACACTTCTGAATATAATGTAGTCCAGTACAACACTGCCTGTAAAGAATAAAAATATAATTGAATTTATACATTTATGACAATTTCACCAAAAACGAAAACATTTTGGACTTAATAAACACAGATGTTAAGGCAGAAGTGTTGCAGTGAAAGGCAATCAATTGTACAGATACTGTATGCTATTAAAAGTGGCCGGTCAGTGTATAATATGACTGACCTACAGTTTGGTGAAAAAGTCTGTATCTCCTTACTTTGAAATGGCAAAAAGAGTAAAACAAAAAAAAAAAATTTTTCATCAACATAATATTTAATGCTGTCAGTGGAGCTGTAAAAGTGGGTCCTGGAGAGAATCAGGATAAGGCCCAAGAAACACAGGGCACTAAAGCAGTGCCGACCTTTGACAATCCAGTATTAGAAATGACCTTACAGGAGGAGCTGCAGGAGGCCATTAAACAGAATGTCTCTTTACAATTAGAAGTCCTACAAGAATATTTAGGTATACTGGAATGGCCACTATTCAAGGAAGAGGAGTCCAAGGAGACAACAAACAAGCCAAAAGAAGATGGAAATGAGCTGCATGATTTAGAGGAGAATGCACCTGTGATGGAGATGATCCCAGTGCAGGAAGAGGAGTACATAGAGGAGTTGATGGTAAACCTGTATTTCCTTATCACACCTGGCCTGATGGAAGAAGAACCAGCAGGCTTCTGGGGGGATGGAGGGGAAGGAATGACAGAGAATGCAGAATATGTGGTGGTGGATGAGTGGGATGCAGAACTGGATTTCGAGGAGAAAGAGAAGAACAGCAAGAGAAGTTGGAAAAGAAAAAAGAATAATTAAAATGCTACAGCTAAAATGCATAAAGTAGAAAGTAAGATATTTAGTAAGTAAGGATAATCAGAGGATGATTTATGTGTGTTTTGTTTACAATAACTACTATTTAGATGTGTAAGGTAAAAATAAGAAATGGTTGTATTGAAAAATTTATGAAAGTGATTTTACATTTAAAGTGAAATGTGTAAGTAACTAAAAGAGAAGTGGATAAAGCTGAATCACAGTGGGAGGAAGTAAGTTCTGGGCAGTGTACTGAACCTTGATGGTAAAAGATATGAAATAGCTCTGAAAAACAGGACTGTGTCTGCCAAGAAATGTAATAGTGGAAAACAGTAGCATCTGGTTGGATGAAAGGACAAAGCCTAGATGACAAGAACCCTTTAAAAACCACAAGAAAAAGAGAAACAACACCCTGCTCAGCAGTTGCTGCCGGAGGCCCTGTCCAGTTGTTTTCTTACATCCTGAAGACCAAAAAACTACAGGGAGGCAGGCCGAGAGGGCATCTCAATTGTGGCTTCTTGCTGTGGGGGAGGAAGGGATGGAAAAGAAGACAGGGTCACTACCTAGGAAATCAATGAGGGACAATTTAACTCTAAACTCCACCTCACAGTAACCAATGTGTGAATCCCCACCTATAGGAAAATCTATGAGGGAAGGATAATTTTCAATAAAATCCCATAATCAACAACTTAAACCCACTGAGGACTAGAAATCAGCAAGAAACTCTTTGACTTTTATACAGTGATTGAGAGCTCAAATATAACTCAAATATAATTATGTTAATCAGTATAATAGTTTAAATTGATATTTAGAAATAGCTGTTGATTTATTTAGTTGTAAGCCAATCAAATAATAAATGTTGATGATCCTGATATTTTATCTTATTGCTTGCTGCTATGCTGTAAATCTTTTAAAATTTATATAAAATTTCTAAAAGGTTAAAACCCTCTCACTCTTTTTATTGAGTCGGCTTCATTATTATTACTATTTGTTAAGCTGGTCGGCTCTCAAGGCGTGGAGGACCCCAGAGGCAGGACAACAGATAACCAGCAATCACAGTAATTTACTTAGATTTTTAATGAACAAAGAGAAGTGTAAGGATGCCGAGACTCAGGACGTGGTGTGGGGGCAAAGGCTGAGGACTCAGGAGAATTCTTCAAATCAATTCACAGGTTTTCAGTGATATTAAAGTCTGGCGATTGGGAAGGGCATGGTAAAACTTTGACCTTATTCTTTTTAAATCATTCCTGAGTTGACTTTGCTCTGTTCTTTGGATGATTGTCTTGTTGACGGATTCACTGCCTCTTTATTTTTAGCTTTCTGAATGATGGTAGAAAGGTCTGCTTTAGAATCTTCTGATACTATGCATTTGGATCCTTTCAGGTGTAATTTTAGCCCATTCTTCATGGCATACGTGTTCTAAGTCGACCAGATTGCTTGGTTGTCTGCTATGTACAGCCTTCTCCAAATCAATTCACAGGTTTCCACTGATACTCTAACTGAGAGCCATTGGGAAACTTGCTCAAATGTAGCCTTAAGAGCTACATAAGAATCCAAAACACCAAAAAAAAAAGAAGAAACAAACAAAATAAAACTAACAAAATAACAAACAAACAGCAGGGGACCTGACAAAGTCCTTAGAGGTAACTGGAAGTCCACATCTCCACAGTCGAGCTTAGTCTGCACAAGCTCCTGAAGTTTGCGGACAACACAATGGTCATCAGTCTCATTTGAGATGGTTACGACTCTGCATGCACACAGGAGGTTGATCAGCTGGTCCTCTGGTGTGGTCACAACAACCTGGAGCTGAACACACTCATATTAGTGGAGATGACAGTGGACTTCAAGAAGAGATCCCTCCCCCAAACTCAGCAGCACTGTATCAGCAGTAAAGTCCTACAAGTTCCTGGGCTCCACTATCTCCCAGGACCTGAAGTGGTTGTCCAACATTAGCACCATCATCAAGAAGGCACAGCAGAGGATGTACTTCCTGACCTGGTGCAGGAGGTCCAACCTGCCCCAGGAGCTGCTGATACAGTTCTACAGAGGAATCATCGTCTGCTCTTTGCTCCTCCATCACTGTCTGGTTTGGCTCAGCAACCAAACAGGACAGGTACAGACTTCAGTGGACAGTCAGGACTGCAGAAAAGATCATCATAGCAAGCCTGGCCTCCAAGGAGGACCTGTACACCTCACGGGTCAAAAGGAGGGCAGAGGAGATTTCTGCAGACCCCTCACACCCTGGACACAAACGGTTTGAGCTCCTCCGCTCTGGGTGGAGCTACACATCACCGTACACCTAGACAACCAGACAACCAGACACCAGGACAGTTTCCTCCCCCAGGCTGTTGCTCTGATGCAATAGTACAATACCTTGTGACTATACTTTTGTATATATTGATCTGAAAAACCGCATCTGTATATATACTTTTATATTTATAAGTACTTTATTTTTGTTTTCCTAATGCAAATTTCTTTTTCTGGCATGCACATTATTTTTATTTCCTTGTTCTCTCTCTCTCTTTTTATCTACTTGTCTTACTCATTGCCTTACAAAAAAGCATTGTACATACACACTGCGAGCCGTTGTACCCAAGTCAACTTGTACAACACACCTGGCCAATAGAGCTAATTCTGATTTCTTTAATTAACAGTTGCATTATCAAAATATCTTGTGTTTAAAGCTGACTGATTTTGTCCTGTGGGTGGTGATACAGCAAAGATTATGGGATGTCACACAGAGGTGCAAAGGGTTCACACTCTAGGGAGCATGAGTATGAATACCTCAATCGATCATATGTAACATTTCCTGTTTAAAAGAACATTCATTTGTATACAGTATTGGGAGATTGCAGTACTAACAGAACATGATATAAATCACATGTCAACTAACTTTAGAAACTTAATATATAGGAAATGTTTTTCAAAGACTTAACACTTTCTGCCATTAGTTTCACCAGATGCCTCCTTAGCTTGGATACTGTTATGTTTTCTATGTTTGAGCAGCTCCTCAATAATGCACTCAGTAATACTCAATTCAAAACTGATATTTCATTTCAGCTGTCATCTCCCTAGCCAATACTTCTGGTAAAATCCTCGCTGCAACCATGGCAACTTGGGTGAAGCAGCCCCAGGGGCGTAGTTTATCCTCTCTCTTTTCTTGCTGCCTCAAAAGAAGTGACCAACCAGAGATCAGCTATGTCCATGATAATGTCACCACTGCACTGGAGCCCACCCTACCTATGCCCCCTCTTCAGGAGCTAGACTCTGTGTTCACAGAGCTAGTAGTGAGTACCAGATTAGAGTCAGTGTTCCTGTGTACTTCTTTTTGACTTCCAACATCCAGATATATTCAGCAGCTTTTTTTCTTATCTTCATCACCCTATCCAGGACGAGCTGGACCTTACAGAGGAGAACCGAGCGTCCATGTTTGCTTTACCAGCAGAGAAAAAATGGCAGATCTACTGTAGTAAGAAAATGGTAAGAAAATATAAGTTGAAATATTTACATCCTGCTGCGGTTTATAATTTAATAGTGGGCTTTTGGGCAACTACTTTTAGGTAAGAGTTGCTACCACTTAAATGTTCAGTATGGTTTAAATAAACTACATTGTCCAACATGTCTGAACATGGCTAAAGCTGTCAAGGATAAGGCCGGTCATTTTCTCAAACCCAGAACCTTCTTGCTGTGAGGTGACAGCGCTAACCACCACGTCACCTTGCCACCAACATACCACATATCCTCTATAATACATTCCTTTTTTAGAGTTGCTGCAGGTTCTCATTTTCTCTGTTTGGATTTTAAAAAAGGCAAATAGGAAGCAGATGGCATATTAATGTGACTAATATGTGCCTGTATATCTGTGTCTTTCAGGAGGCAGAGGAGAATAAAGGAGCAAGCAGCTGGCCAGAGTTTTATATTGATCAGCTCAGGTCAATGGCTGCTGTGAGTACTGCTACCCACCTGTTTTATTCACAGATTATTACAGACACATTTACTTTATTACCAGTAGGCCAATTCTGGTTTATTTGTATATCACCAAATTACAACAAAAGTTATCTCAGGACACATTACAAAGTATATGAGAAAAAAAAATACAATGAATATCAAAACATATTTCGCTGGAACAATTTTACACATGGAGGCTTTGTGTTTTATCATTTATTTAATAATAGATATTGTCAGATACAGTCATGGTAAAAAGACTACTTCAGTTCTACAGTATGTTTTATTTATCAGGGTCTAAAAACAATTGTGTGGACTTCATAAGCGTCTACAGTGGGTACGGAAAGTATTCAGACCTCCTTAAATTTTTCACTCTTTGTTATATTGCAGCCATATGCTAAAATCATTTAAGTTCATTTTTTCCTCATTAATGTACACACAGCACCCCATATTGACAGAAAAAACACAGAATTTTTGACATTTTTGCAGATTTATTAAAAAAGAAAAACTGAAATATCACACGGTCATAAGTATTCAGACCCTTTGCTCAGTATTTAGTAGAAGCCCCCTTCTGAATACCTTCCGTACCCACTGTATAAGCAAACAAATAAATATATAACCTCAGGTGACACACCCACACAAACACAAATCTGTATGTGGTTACTGTTTCCCAAAAAGTAAACCAATAAAATAAAATAAAAGTGCATCCTTCCTACTTCCACACTCATTAAGAGGGTAATAAGCACCCAGGAATTACTAATTAAACTCTCAAATCAGCGATGTTCTCTGGAGAGGATCTGGACTTCACTGTCCTCAAAAGAGTGTCCTTTCTCCTTCTGGTGGAGGTGGACTGCTGACTCTGGTCCACTGGAGTTGGCCCTCCTGTGTTGGGCCATGCGTTTGTGCAGCGGCTGCTTAGTTTCACCAATGTACAAGTTGTTACACTCCTGACTACACTTAATTTCATACACCACATCACTCTGTTTATGTCTGGGTGTTTTGTCCTTCGGGTGGACCAGTCTCTGCCGCAGGGTGTTCCCTGGTTTAAAGTTAACTGGGATATTGTGGTTGTGAAAGATCCTTTTTAACTTCTCTGATAAACCAGCCACATAAGGGATGACAGTGTTATCCCCTCTTGTTTCTGGTTTCTCCCTGTTGGTGTTGGGCCTCTTCCTTGCTTTGGTGAAGGCCCACTTAGGGTATCCAGAAGCCTTAAGTGAGTTCTGGATGTGTAGTTTCTCCTTCTTGATCCCTTCTGCAGTTGTGGGCACTTCCTCTGCCCTGTGATTTAAAGTTCTGATAACTCCCAGAACTGTTGAAGTCTCTTCGATGAGAAGTGAAATGTCTTCTACCTAAAACTACATCCAGATTTCTTCTTCTAAGCTTTTTCATCATTAAACTTTTAACTTCCATTTGTACTTTTCAAAAGATTAACATTTATTTGAATCTTTGTTAAAATGGTTGAAAATGAGAAATATTGTACATTGGTCTCTATGAAGAGAAAGAGTCAGGGGCTGTAGTGGTGATATCACACCTAGAGTGGGGAGGCTGTTGGATTTGTCTAAACAATTCTCTCTAACTCGTCCTCATGACCACAGTTTTCACTCCTTTTACATAAGTTTTTCACTGAATTGTAGACACATCTGTGCTCTTCCTGACAGTAGAACTGTGGAAGCAAATGGTTTCATAGAAGATGCAGTGAGCTGCAGAGTGACATGAGTGTCAACGAACTGTCACATTGTCTCCTATGTAAACAGTATTAGGCAGGTGGTCATAATGTTATGCTGATTGGTGTATCACCAGAATGATGTGAGAGACTCAAAGGGCCTCATTTTGAGGATCCATGGCATCTGATCAAGATGTACTGGTGCAAGCGGTGTTTTGGTGTGTCCATGTTTGACGATGAGGAAAAACGATTCAAGCACCCATGGGAGTAGTGCTGTGGAAATGCCACCACAGTAGCAAAAGGGCTGAACTTGATCTCCTCATTAAATCAGGGGTGTGTTTTGGGTGTAACATTCAATTATCCAGCCAGTGTGTGACCTCACGTCCATTTTAACTAGCAACAATGACTTGAATGTTTGCTGGTCAGTGGCGCAGTCACTTTGTGTACCCTCATATAACCAAAGCACCTGAAATTTACCTGGGCGCATCTCGTTTTCATCCGGACACACCTGCCAGCGTGAAGTCGACAGACGCTGCTTGGTAAAAAGGCAATGTGATGCACATGTTGTGAAAATGGTAACTGCGCAGGCAGGAAATTACGAACCACAGACCTGCCCAGCATGTCGTGAGTTTGGTGCAAGATAGGGCCCAAAAACTCCTACAGAAAATGTTTGCCTTCATGTTACTGTTGCTTTCCCACCTAGTTTCTGAATGTTGGTTTACTTTTGGGAAACAGTGACCACATATTGAAATCTGTTATGTTTTTTGTTTTAGATGAGGTTTAAAAAAAGAATAATAAGTTGGTGTGTAACACAATTGTTTTTAGGCCCTGATGAATAAAAACAGAAACTGAAGGAGGATGTGCTTTCTTTTTGCCATTACTGTACACAGTATTACTTATGGTGAATGGTCTTGTACTTGTATAGCGCTTTTCTATGCATTACAGTACAGTCAAAACGCTTTCACACTACTTGGTCATTCACCCATTTGCACTCACAAATGCTCACACACTGGTGTTATCACTGGGAGAAACTGGGGGTTCAGTGTCTTGCTCAAGGACACTTCAATATGTTGACTGGAAAGCTCTACCTCCTGAGCCACAGCAGTATGCAGTACGTGTAAACACTTTATGTAACATTTTGTTATAGTGAAGAGCCAAAGCAGCAGTTTGGCTAAATGCTCTCCTCTGACAGTTTGGCATTTTGAAAAGTTGTGAGGCACTATTTGTTTAACCCATTTCTTCCAGAGGAGAACTCTGCTGGCACTGGAGGATGAGGGAGAGCAGGAGAGACTGAAAATCGTAGATGGTTTAAAAACAGCATTGAGGACACAGCCAATGAGGTTCGATTCCAACACATACATTATTCTGACAATGTAGAGGTTTCACAGAGTCGTTGCACTTTCTCCCACACTGCAGTGACTGAAATGATCACTTTAACCTGTCAATCTGATCAATCTCCCTCAGGTTTGTGACACGATTCATTGAGTGGGATGGCCTGTCTTGTATCCTAAACTTCCTGATGTCAATGGACCATGAGACCACAGAGTCTCAGATCCACACCTCACTGATTGGCTGTATAAAAGCTCTGATGAACAACTCCCAGGGCAGAGCCCATGTCCTTGGCCACTGTGAAAGCATTAATATCATTGCACAAAGTCTCTCCTCTGAAAACATCAAAACCAAGGTAGGTAGGACACAAATTGTGCAGACAACACTTTCAAACCTTTGTATACTCAAAAAGTTACATGTTTTAAAAGTTGAGAGCAGTGTTTTGACTCAGACTGGCCTCACACTTTACAACAATCAGTACAGCTGAGAGACACTGGCCCTGTCCCATGTCAATGTGAGGTATCAGACAAAATGTAAAATCTTTGTTAATGCACCTTTATCAGGTTTCAACCTAAATATTTCTTTAAAATTATTTAACTGAAGACAAATCTGTACTTTCATCTTTAAAAAGATCATTCACTGGGTAAGTAATCATGAAATGTGTTCTCCTTGATTGTAACCAATCGTTTTTGTCTCTTTTCAGGTTGCGGTGTTAGAGATCCTTGGTGCAGTATGTTTGGTCCCTGGGGGCCATAAGAAAGTACTAGAAGCTATGATGCACTATCAGAAATTTGCCTCAGAGAGAACACGCTTTCAGGTCCAATTTTATTTTATTATTTTATTTAATTTATTGCAAATTAATCTGATTCCCTGACATGACCCATAGCATACCACCTTGCTCAAACAGCTCCTTAAGAACCCCCTAACCCTAACTTCCCTTAGACAACATAACTGCAAAACTAAAACAGTAAATTAAAATGACAAAATAATATGGTATTACATTGTTTTGGGTGGTTGATAATTAAACATTAACACTTGACTGGCCATACTGTCATTTGGTGGCTTTACCATGAGCTGCCAAACTATTTTATATCCACATTAAACTCACTGCTGAGGGTCCTCAGAAATGGATGAAAACCAATCTTTACTTTGCTTGTTAAGAACAATAAAAACTAATTAGCTTTTCAGCATGAGTGTATTCTGTATGTGCATGATCAATGATTACTACATCAGTAAACTAGACTGTAAAATATGACAGTATACGTTGTTTGTAGCAGCAGGTTCTTACAACACACTGTTACGTCTTGTAGTCTGGTAACACCTAGCCAGTGTCGTAATTATGAGATAAGGAAAGGAGTAAGTAACAGGACATATTATATTGGGGCCCAAAAGGAGAAGATTGGGGTGAACGACTAGGTGGATAAAATACGTGACTTTTGCTAAGAAGAGTCATTTTCAATTCCAATGTGTTTTTTGTGTGTGTGTTCCTAAACATAACAACAAAGCCACACACTGGAATTGAAGCTGGCTTTCCTTAACGAAAGTCCTGTGTTTTATCCATCTAGCTACTGTAAATGCAACCAAGTAGTTTTTGTGCCTAACCCTAACTAAGGAGTTTGTATGGCAAAACATAATGAAGCTGTGATGGTTTCATAATCGTAACATCATATTTATGACAGTTTCTAAGTAGCCCACTGCTTGTGTTTATGGCTGTTTCTATGATGACCAAAGTTTGTAAAAGTTGGTAATGTGACATACTGTAATGTCATTAATGTTGGCAGAATTGTTGCAAATCTTCCCACTACCATAGGAGTGCTATGGATCGTATGGGAGGGAAGGGACAAACGACCATGTAGGTTGTATAGGTTGGAGGAGTTGTTGCAATAAACTTACAATAAAAATCCAAAAAACAGAAGTCTTTAAAAATAAATATGGTACATTCCCCTAGCACTTGCAGACTTCTGGGGAGTGCACCCATATGTCCGTGAATCTGCAGGAGTGTCATTGAAAACAGGTGGAATCAATTTTCTCAGTTAAACTGGCTGATATATCAACTTCCCATATCCAATGTGTAGCAGTTTTATATTAGACTTTCCAGTGATGTTTAATTCTTTAGTTAAACTGATGTCAACCAAATTTTAAAAAAGACCAAAAGCACTGTATACATACAAATGGTGTAACTTGAATATCCTCTATCTTGTGTGCAGACCCTGCTGACAGACTTGAGTAGATTCACAGGCCGCTACAGAGATGAAGTTAATCTGAAGACCACCATCATGTCCTTTATCAATGCTGTGCTCAGCCAGGGTGCAGGAGAGGTGGTGAAAAAACAAATCACTCTGCACACTCTTATAAGCACAATAGGTTCATTATATTAAATATCTTGGAAGATGCATGCAGGTGTTAATTCTATATTTTACATGAAAAGACCAAAACCATTGAGCATTACATTTCTCAGTAACTTCTGACTTTCCTATCATGTATGATTTTTATTTTTCTAACCAGCTGTTACTGAAATGGTATAAAATCTTGCATGAGTGGGGGACCTTTTCTTTGTGATGTTCTAGTGTGTATTTTTGGCAGCAGGACAGAGAATGTGAGACTAAACAAAAAGATAAACTGCAACCACTCACGCACAACCATCTGTTTTAGATTTTTCCTCTAGGATCAGTTTGTGTTTGTATAAATGTATCTACTGTAAAGCAATTTTTTTTAATAAGACAAGTGCCTTGGTATTTTTTGTTTGTTGACTTCTAACTAAAGCAACTTATTTTTATTACTACCTGGATTTACTTAACCTTTGTTCTCCTGTCCTCTGTTCAGGTAATATTTACTGAAAAGATCACTATGCATAATGTGACAATATTGTGTGCATGTGTCTGCTTTCAGACCAGCCTGGAGTTCCGTATCCATCTGCGCTATGAGTTTCTGATGTTGGGCATACAGCCAGTGATCGACAAATTACGTTCCCATGACAATGATACCCTGAACAGGTACATCAGGTGCACAAAACATCAGTAACAGTATCAAAGAACAAATAGTTTAGGGCATTGGTCAGCAACCGCTACTACCCAAAAAGCCATATTTGGCCAGGAAAAAAATATATAGTATGTATATATATATTTATATATACTGTATATACAGTGGGTACGAAAAATATTCAGACCCCCTTAAATTTTTCACTCTTTGTTATATTGCAGCCATATGCTAAAATCATTTAAGTTCATTTTTTTTCCTCATTAATGTACACACAGCACCCCATATTGACAGAAAAACA